TCAATAAAAGTTCAAAAGGAATGAAGAAATAAAAACTAGGAATCTCGTCGATCTTTCAATCTTCTTGATTCCTTCATAGTTGATCTTCTTCTTGGTTCCCAATTGCTTCTCTTGTGTGTTCTAGGGCTCTCTCCTTGTGTATCTCTCGTTTCTGCTTCTCAAAATAGGGTAAATATGCTTTTTATAATGTCTAAAACCCTTCTCCTTTGTAAAATATGAAAGATTTAAAAATCTGCCTACGCACGCGGCATGGCCAGTCTGCCCGTGTCACAGTCCGTGTCCCAGCCCGTGTCAGGTCCCTGGGCTTCGAAATGCTTCAGTTGAAGTGACACGGCCTCTGACACGGGCATGGTGTCCGTGTCACAAATTTGCACTCTATATTTCACTTGTTTGACTCGTTTCTTCCATTTTTTCATCCGTGCATCAATCTTTCATCATCCCGGGGTTCCTAGATACCCACCATGCACCTCCAATAGCCAAAAGCTCTACAAATATGTGATTTTATTTTTGAGAGTCGAGCTTAGTGGCTCGTTTGCGTTTTTATCCAATCCATTTTAGTCTTTTTGTTTGTTTGTTTGTTTTTTTTTTCATCCTTGCATTGCGTTTTTGTATTTGTTGTACTTTTTCGTGTTCCTTGGTGATCTTATTTAGTTCCATTTAGTCGTAATTGCATAGGAAGAAACGTGCCCGAGTATCAAGCACAAGAAGAATCGAGCCCGAGTATCAAGCACATGAGTTACATCTGAGTACCTCAGTCTATGTCCGAGCATCTCGCCACATTGTTCATAAACCGTTACCTGAGGACCTCTCACATGTTTCCGAGAGAACACAGATCGCCTAGCCATCACACAATCCATCGTCGAGCGTTGCCGAGAGAATTTGCACCGTAGCTGCCAAGGAAACCGAGAGATGAAGCACTCGCGAGGCAGAGAAACGCATGTTGTTCAACAAGTGTCGAGCTCCCCTTCCACGAGGCACGCTGTTAAAAAAATTGCATTTACCAAGAAAATATAGGTTGTACACATTTTTTTTTTTCCTGTTGTTCTAATCCTTATCTATTTTGGTTTTTCTAATATAACCCCACTGTGTACAAAGTATGAGACTGTGAGCAACATTCCAAGCGACAATGTGCAAACTTTCACATGCCGAACTTGATGATTGGTGTCCTAACCAACTCCCTCCAAATCATTTATCATTCCCTTTAACCATCACTTAAGCTCCTTGGCAAATACTTCCATGGCATTCTCCAGTAAAGACATGGGGACTAATATCCCCATTTCGCCCTCACTATTCTTCCACGGGGTGTAAAAACATACTCCCAAAAACCCCGTGATTTGCTGTACTGGATGGAAAGATTGGAATTTTGGTTGCACTGAGTCTCCTTGACTTGACGAAAACGTAGAGGAGCATGCTAGCAATAAGATCTAGGTAGATAAACTGAGTCTTCTTAACTAAATGATCACGCTTTAAGAAAGTCGAGGCTTTTATAACAAATAGGCACAAATTTAACATCTAACACTCAAGCACATAAGAAAATAAAAAAAAGTCTTAAATCGAGCATCAACATAAAATTCTAGCCAAAACACAAACTAATAGAAATAAGCCCTAATGAAGATATGTACCCAATACTATCGCAAGCTCGGATGAAAATAATGCGTAAAGATGAAATTTTGGATAAAAATAAAGTCGTCGGAAAATCTTTGGAAAAGTCGCCGAAAAATGTCAAGTCTTATACCTCCAAACTAAAGCATAAAATAAAATAGAGAGAAAGGATTAATTTCCCTACTAAAAAGTTGGGAAATGAGAGTGGTGTCCAAAAATACAAAGCAAAATGTCTATATATAGCTACATCATAAACAACACATCTAATGAAATTCGGGACTCGTCGGGTCTCGAAATCAGTTTAGCAGCGAGTGTGGATTGTGCATAAGGATTGGCCTCGGGTGGACTCGCTGGGTCGCGAACGGTCGTTTGTAGTGAGTGCTAAGGGTCTCTCGCGCCCGACTCGCATGCTCGCGAGATGAATTTCGCAGCGAGTGCCCAGATGCTCTCGAGCCTCCTCGCGCAGTCATCACTCGTAGCGAGTGTCGCGTCTGCTCGCGTGCTTTCTCACGGTCTCTCGGGCACTCGCGGACTAGGCCTCGCACCGAGTGGCGTCGCGGGTTGAACGACCTCGCGCTGTCGTGAATTGTGCTTCGCGGCGAGTGTTAGGTCGCACGTACAGGTCTCTCGGGAGTCTGTCTCGCAGCCTCATGAGTGGAAGCTTGCAGCGAGTGCTCGATCATGTCTCGAAAATTGCCCAAGGTGACTCGGCCTAGCTCAAATGGCTCGAAAATAGTTTGGATAGCTCAGATAATGACGCGAGTGATGGCTAGTTTCCCAATCTTTGCAACAAGGATCTAATCAACAACAAAAGAGACGAGAAAATACGGCAAAAAAATAAAACACAAAACGACAGAAAAAATACATATATGATAAAATAGACCGGTTGACACTAAAACGAACCTAAAAATACACGGCTACGGTACATAAAACACACAAATAATACCACAAAAGCACAACAAACTAAAGTTTCACAGCTCGGACTTGATGAAAGCCTTGGTGTCCTGACCAGCCCCCTCCAAATCATCACCATTCCCTTTCACCAACACCTTAAGCTCATTAGAAAATACTTCCATGGAATTCTTTGGTAAAGCCATGGGGACCAATATCCCCTTTTGTCCCTCACTATTCTTCCACGGGGTGTAAAAGCTCACTGCGGGAAATCCTGCATTTCCAGGTACTGGATTACCGCCGTATATTGGGTGGCCCCACCCGTAATCAACTTTCTCAATGCCTAAGGCAGTCAAATCGGAAACAATAAGAGTCCTAACCATTGAGTAATGAGGCCGACCACTCTTGACCATTCGATCTGCCACTGACCTCACGTACTCCTCGGTCGCCTCCAATTTGGCCCTCTTCACAAGCTCCACCGCATATTCCAATGGGTTGTCAGATAAATCTCCGGCAGTGGAGACCGCCGCTGGCCAGACCACGACATTGCCATAGTAGTCTTCAGGAAGTGGTGGGTCAAAACTCTTTCGGCAGTTCACCATGCAACCTACCCGGAACACCTGGCGGGGGTCGGTAGAGACTGCTGCCGTACGGCACCGCCAAAGGCAAGCCGTGAGGATGTCGAATGTGGAGCACCTGTAGTTGAGGCCACTACGGAGGGCTAAGATCTCGGCTGGCCCAAAGAAGAAGGAGCGTTGCACGAGGTTGTGGACTGGGATAGAATCTCCGCCGGGCAAGGTGTCGTACTCGTGGTGCACGCAGGTGACTCGAGGTGGGTCTCGCGCGCTGAGGAGATGTCTCCCCCAAACTTGGAGGATGGAGGGGCAATGGGCCCCTAGGGCTAGCTCACCGATGGCCGACATAAACTGGACGAGACCCTTGCCATCGGCAATGGTGTGGCTAAAGCGGATGCCGAAGATGAACCCTCCACATTTGAGTCGAGTGACCTGCGAATCAAAATCACTTTTAAATTTGATTTAGCAGTTTGATATGAATTTAATATTCTTTTAGTGAAACCCTTAACAAAAATAAATATACAAAAATTCCAAAGAGAACCAGAAGTTAAAATCATCATAAATTATCAAATTTCAGACTCACAGAAGGAGAGACTCTCACTTGCCACGTATGTACGTATCTTAATTTTAGATCTGCCCAAAAAAAA